GAATGGGCATTGCCTTTGAGTAGCAGGCTGCCAGAAGTGTTTACCGAAAAACAGGCCTTTGGCCCTGAATGAATTGCCCCTGAGAACTTTTTAGGTCTGAAAAGATGAGAGTAGGCCGGATACATGAGGGAGGTCTAGTCTATCTACGTAGGTTATTAGTTGTTACAAGGGTGCAGGAGGGCGGGACATAAAAAAGTATTAAGAATGATAAAACAGTCTATTTTTAGGAAGATGAGAAAGTAACAGAATTTCGGAGACGATTACTGAATTATTGTAGACTGCTATTCTTTTTGATGATTAACCAATTGGTATGAAGTTGGATGAGAGAATGATAAAAGGATTTGAAAATATTTTTAATTCTTTTCGAGTACAAGTTCTCTCCTGGACAAAGACGCAAGTGAGAAAAAAGCTTTTTACAACTAGTTCTAAGATTTGACCGCAGTGAAACTCAGAAGGACATCCTCTTGAACGTCTTTTTTGTCTATTGCGTTTTGACTGAACTCTTCTGTCTTTCCCTGCTGAGACGACTCCTTGACTGCCCCCATTCCCTTCAGTCAACTCTGTGAGCCAACTCCCAACTGCACACCTAAGGGTACATTTGGTAGCGTTTATTTTCAGCGTTTATTTCGAATAATAGTGATTATTTTTCAAAATAATCGCTGATGAAAAAAGACGTTTGGGACCACTTATGGTACCCCAAAAAAAACTCCTTCCCCGTCCCAAAAGGAGTTTAAAACGAGACTTTGGATAAACGCCAAAAGGGAGTTTATCCGTGCAATAAACTCCTTTTTGGACTTAACAAAATTTCATCTCGAAAGACTTTGACCCTCCTCAGTGTCATAACAGGCAAACCAGATGCTATTTCTTCGACTTGATCAACACTCTTAACACTACACCATCACACTCAACACTCACCAGCCAATCTTCACTTCTACTTCTAGCTCTTAGCTGCCTTTCCTTCAAATTTTGTCTCACCGATCATTGCCTCAAATCTATTTTGTGTTTCTCAAACATGAATCTAGAACTGAGATTAATTCTGATTCCTTTGGTGTAAAAGATCTCTTGTCTCTTGTGATGCACATATGAAAATCTGGAAACCAATTTAGAAGCAAGTCATTGATTGTTCAATTTCTAGTTGATTGTGCAATTTCCATCAATTTGTCAATTTCAATCGATCACTCAGTTTCAATCAATCAGTCAAAATCAATCAATCATTCAATCTTGATCAACCCTTGAACTTCAAATGATACAATAAAAATGACCCTTGGAAGATTAGAAACATAGAAACTGGAGGAGAGTGTTCAAATTGGATTGGTTGTTCAGTTTTGTTTGATGGTCCAATTCCAGTCAATCTTTCCATTTTGCCCGTTCTTTTTAGTCAATTGTTCAAAGTCAAATTTGATTCAATGTGACTATGTTTCTTTCTGTGAGATGAGATGAATTGGGAGATTGAAGAGTGAGATAAAAGTGTATAAGCTGGCCTAATAGGTTTTTGTGGCAAAACGGAAGCAAAGTGATTGCGAGATAAGTCCGGTTGGGATTTTCAACCAAACATGATTTTCTCAAATGTACCCAAGACGGAGTTTCTTTGAAAAAAACTCGCTTTGAACAATAAACTCATTTGCCCCAGGGCAATGTACCTGGAGTCAAACGGAGTTTACATTCTGTAATTGCAACCAAACGTACCCTAAACCATAACACCCATACTACATATGTGCAGCAGGCTGAGTATATAGGTGGCTATTATGTACATACAGGTCTGCTCCGTTGTCTGCCCATCTAAACAAGTAAATTACAACTCATAAATCATGTAACTTGTTTCATTTTGACAAAATTGTCCCAAAAATTGATTACATATACATACCTCCATAGCTACTCAGGCAATACTTTTGAAGCCATTTGTCAGTACCAGAAAGGGTGCTGCATTAAGTTTAGTTGATGAAATCACACCAAAACTTTGAGTCAGTGTATGTAGTCAATTATTGAAATACTTTTGTCAAGCTCAAAACAGTTACAGCATGTATTATATATGATTCCATTGTTCAGATGAGCAGATAATTGAGTGAATTTGTATGTACATGAAAGCCACCCATTCACTCACCTTGCTGCACATATGTAGTGTGGGTGTTATGGCTCAGGTGTGCAGTTATGATCCTTTTGTGATCAGGTATACTCTCAATCATTCTCCCATTCCCAATTGGGGGAAATGTATGATGTTTGCATTGATGATAGGGAGATATAGCACTTAAGTCAAAAAAATACAAGAAAATTGTACTCAGTTTGAAATGGCAAGTACATCAAGCTTGGGCTCCTGATTTTTGATACAATGTTACCCATTGCACTAATGTGTGGAGCCACTTGATGTCAAATAGACTTTTATTGGATATTGGAACAAAGAACCAAGATTTATGCAAGCAAGCCCTAGCAGACTTGAAAGCAAATGACAACAACATGTACCCAGACAACTGGTACATGATTGGAGCAGTCATGGAGCATATCTTCACATGTGCAGGAAAGTGCGACATTGGTTGGTATCTTGCTGCATCAACCCACAGTCTCAGATCCAAGTAGTCACAGACAGAATAATCATATTGCATCTAGCCAGTAATAGTAATCAGAACACTCACAGTCTTCAGAGCAGAAGTAGTAATTTTGGTGGAGGAAGGGGAGAAACAGAGGTGATGACAGAGCCAACAGATCTGGAAGAGGTAGTTTCCATCTGCAATCTTGTGGAGGTTTAGGTAGTTTTGGTGATGTTTTGGTTGGTGCTTCGGAAGAGGAAGACAAAATGTAACAGGTGAACATTCAAAGATAGGACCATGTAGTTTTGATAAGTCCATGGGGGTAGCAATAAATGGCAATAGTAGCACCACATAGAAGTGAGTAGATGAGATCAAATTTTGAAAACAGAGCCTTTTTCTTTTTTTGCTTTGTCAAACTTTTTCTTTTGTTATGTGGTATACAGCTGTGAGGAATGAACAGTTACCTGTGATGGACTGTTGTAACTAAGATGTTGAGACTGCCCTGTTCTGTTCCCATTTTCAAACAGGTTGTGCAACACAGATGAAAAAGATGCATGGTCAAATAAATTGAGATTAGTAAGGGAACAGCAGCCAGAAAGTTGTAAATACCTACCAAGATAGATGGCATTTCAGAAACAAAGCATTTTCTGGGCAGAAAATGTAAATATTGATATAGGAAAATAATAAGCAGTCTGGAAGACAGAAAAACACACAAAAAATGTGCATATTGTTCCTGGTGTTGAGAGATTCAGTCTGAGTTTTTTTTGTATCTTTAGAGTGTATATTGTTGAATGCACTAATAAAAGACCCCATGATCATCAGATCTACACATGTAACAAATTTTGAAATCTGGCTCCTGAGTTTCATGACAACATTTTGAATTTTGGAAATGCTCACAAGTTTTGCAATTCTTGGTCCAACAACTCAATTGTGGGCTCATTAAAAATCTAGAATCTCACTCTAGATGTTTTGTCAATGAGTCAAAGACTCAGCATATCATACAAAGCAGCTATTTTTGACATGAATCATCCGCTATAAAACCACATAGATTCTTTGTGAAGCTCAACAATGATTGAGCTCATCAAAATCTATCACTGCCACAAACACCCATTTGTCTTCTCAAAGTTGGGTTGCTCTGGTTAAACTTGATGAACTGGTATTGAAGCAATTGCCCAATTTCATTGTCCAATATATCAAGATGCTTTCAATCCACCCACTTTTGACAATTGCGGGATACAAAGTAGAATCCGGGCACGTGCCCAGCTTTGTGCCCGGAATTATTTTGGCAGTAAATTTTGATTTTCTGGGCAAAAGTCCGGGCCCAGAATTTGAATTTACTGCCAAAAAAAATCTGGGCACAAAGCCGGGCACGTGCCCGGCTTCAACTTTGTATCCCGTCAATTGTGTCTACTACACCATTGCTCAAGTACTCAAGATGTACAGCAAGGGATCTTATGTTTTAATTTGACATTAATTGCACAAGGAGCTCTCATTTTAGAGGGATACCCATGAACAGTTGATCTCAACCCCAGGGACCAATGTGTACTTGAGAGTTCTTGATGTGCATGCCTTACCTTGGCTTTTTAATTGCAAGTGCCTACAAGTGCCCAGTGTTTTGCTTGGATCCTGGCAAAGTCAATTCTTACACATTTTGCCCATATTGTGCACCATCCAACAACAACAATCCTATCATCCTTGCCTTTGTCAATGAGAGCCATTTTGCCACTTTGAGATTTGGAGGCCAATTAGTTTCATTTCCTGAAGTATACAACAAGCACCCCTCAGCCACAATCAACCCCACCCAGATACCTGAGTGTATCATAAAGCATAAAGTTCAAATGTCAGTCCAATTTACATGATTTCATGACATCTTTACTTTCTTTGGGTGAAGCAAGGATACTAATAGAACAAAGATGCACATCAATCTGGGGCAACTCACAGAAGAGTGTGCTATGGCTTGTTCCTGCATCACAGTACTAGCTACAATGACTTCCTTTTCAAAGAGACTTTGAGGCAAAAGAAAGGGAAAAAAGGTGCAGTTAGGTTGAAATTGTGATCTACGCAAACTCTGGATGGACTATGTATGGCAGTCTGGTGTACCAGGCATAGGTTCATCTTTTGATACTTCTGAGCCTTCCTTTGGCCAGATTGTCTCACCAATGTTTGCTCTGGGACAGTTTCAGGCTTCATAAGCGCTGTCCAGGTTCTCATAGAGCTCTTTTTCTTGTGATTGGATTGACAACACGTATTGATATGAAGATTGACCAAGAAATCTATGTAGTGTATGATGAAGACGCAAACAATTGTTATGCGAATGGCTAAGAAAAGTGACACCTTTGCTGAATGTGAGGAGGTGGGAAAATGGTACCTCTGGCACCATCAAATAATCAAAACTCCGTGTGATCAAAATAGAAAAGATTGTCTTGATGATAGTTGAAGTGTTAACGTTGGGGCAGTGAGATAGTTTATCAAAAGCTTTCATGGACCAAACCAACCATAAGCTAGAAAAAATCTTCCTAACTTGGCTGTTGCATATCCAGCTGTGCTCTTGATTATCGTATTCAAAGTTCCCATGCCAGGAATGGCTGCAGCAAAGCCTGACTGTGTAAGATCGGAGGGAAAATTATCTTCTTGCCTGTTGATTACAGAGAATCATCAGAATTAACATTTCAAGACTCATGGAATGACTTTTACTGACCTATAGATGCGATACTTTCCGTCCTCGCATTTCTTCAGGTCAATGCGCACGAGGAATCGCACCGACGCCCGAGAGGGTCTCAATCGAGACAACGGGTTCATTCTCATGCAGACATGTTCGGTCAATTCTGAAGCACCCAGTTTCATCATGTGGAGTACGATTAGCTAAAAGAGCATTTCCAAACATTTATCGGTGTGAGTAGACACCCACCAATGGTACCCTGAGTCTTGTCCTCATTGAACATAACAGCGTGGAAGTCGATCTTATTGTCGATAGTTTGGACCCGACTATCTTGCCATAGATGATGTCTATCAGTTATCCAGCACAGCAATGCCAATATGGCGGTCTGTGTACGTACAGTATCTTGTATATCCCCTTCAAATCCTCCCTTCCATTGTCTTTGCTGTATGGCTGATTGATAAATGGGTGAAAAATCTGGGCATCGCGAGTGAAGTACCTAAGATTGGAACACATCATCCGCTGTCAGCTACATCGCTAGCGAGATGCGAAAAAATCGAACGAACTTCTCAATGTTGTCTGCAATGACACTTGCTTCATAAGGTTCTGTAATGGAACGAACAACGTCTTCAATCTATAATAAAGAAAGCGAGATCAGTTTTTGATTCAAATCTAGTCATGATGTGATAACAAGATAGTAAATTTAGAAAGCAGATAACTGAGCAATTGTTCTGACCTCCTTGACTGGGTCATCCATTTCAAAGGGGTTATAAGAATTGCCGCTAGAAAAGATTTGTTCGAGTGGTGAGCTGCCTACGCAAGATACGGGTATGTTTATCGCAGCCAACAACAGCGTAATCGTCAAGACGTCTTGTTTCGATGGCGTAATATTTGAAGCGTCGGAGATGATTAGTCAAAGTGTGTATTTATTCAACGAAAACTTAACCTGGGAAACTTGACTCGGGCAAAATAGGGGGCTTGTTTAAAGAGTGACTGGTTGTATATATATGTTTATGTAAGCCCAAACTCCAAATATGCAAGGTCAAGCAGGTGATACTGCAACCACATTTGCCTGACTGGGAGAACCCTTTTCACAGCGTTGTCATTTCCATAAACAGAACAAATCTTCGCAGGGAAGCCCCGAGCGGGCAGCTTTAGAATAATGCGGGGGGTCGATCGGTGGGGTCGATCGCCAAACCCGTATGTATGTCCTTCCGTGCCGATACTGGGTATACATATCAATGCACCACAAGGAAAACCCATCAAGGGTATCGCTTTCCAAGGCCGATGATAGTCATGACGATCCGTTCTGTTCTTCAATCGCGGATGACGTTGTAAGTAATCGTGCCCAAGAGCCAGCCGCAAAAAGGTCAGGTCTGATGATCAAGCAAAACTCAGACTCAGCAACGGACGCTTTGAAACAAAAGGAATCATAACTTCACAAGAGAAAAGTCTTTTCTTTGATGATTACACCAAAACTATAATTCAATCTTTTGCTGTGGTGAGTAATTGATATGTATGAATCGAGTGCCAAATGACAAATGGAGTTCCACAGGGGTCCAAACCTTTAAGAGTCAAATCCTATGCAAAGTTTGGAACACGGGAATGATTTGGCAGACATACGCAATATGGTCCATGATTTGGTCCAGATGTACAGCATAGTTTGTGTTGTAGTGCAACTCGGCGCCGGAGGACAAAGACCCCCAAACACCCTCGCAGGCGGTAAGCCCGGAGCCTGGAAAATAAGCTGTTTTTATTACAGTCGTTTTCAAAAAGCTTGCCGCTAATTCACCGCCAAATTGCTCGAGTTTTGCGGGCAAATTTCGGGTACACCCGGAATCCGGATTTTGCGTGGGATTTCCCCCCGATTTCCCACAGGGGACCTGGGAGTGGATCTGAAACACATACAGGAGCGTTAGGCCCATGCTTGTATCCTGACTTTGGATCAAACCACATGTCTACACCACGGAGTGCTCCGGCCCATCTGCAGACTGGGACGGAGGCCGTCTGCAGACGGGCCTTTTTTTATATAGTCACTGACCGCCTGCAGTTAGGCGCTGGTCCCACCGTATGCAGACGGCCTTTCAAATACCACCTGCAGCCTGCCTGCAGGTTGACTGAAGACGAGATATACCAGGCCGTCTGCAGATAGGATAGCTATTTACGGCCAGCGTGCCGTCTCAAGACGGTGTGAAGAGTGTCCAAAAAATGTCCGAGGCGTCTTCAAGACCACTCGTAGGCAGGTCGGAGACTCAGAAAAGGGCCGGTGAGGCGGCTTACAGACGTGAAACTCAATCAGTAGGCGGTTCATCAGCCAATTGATGAAGACCAAATTGATTCAATTACGTGCATTGTATCAAAAAAACAAATTTAATATAAGATTATAAATTTAATATAAGATTATAAATTGTAATATAAGATTATAAATTGTAAACATACGACAGAATGAAAAAACTAATAAAGGAAGTATAATATAAATGTAATAATAAAACTTTCATATGATGAGATCACGAGATAAACATGATCAGTTTTTGTTAGGTGTCTTCTTGTTTGCTTTCTTGTTTGTTTTACGTGATTGCAACTTTGGTATCTCAGCCTGAATCTCGTCATCTGAGGGCATTTTGAATGATCGATCGGCCAGTGGGATGTTGTCGTACATGACAGTTCCTTTGTCAAATCTCTTGCGGTCTTGTTGATAGAGAATATTGTAAAAGCTATCGTAATTTTGTAAATTAAATATCTTCATCAAATCTTAATCTTCCAGAAAATTCAGAAAAACTCACCAAGTTGTATATGGGCGCCCTTTTGAACGTAGGTACTCCAATTGATTGTCCACTTCTGTCCATATTGTGGAAGTGGCTTTATTTGGATGGTATATTCGCAGGCATTCACGCCGCTGTAAGTAGAGGAAAGAAAGGTCATTTTGTATGAGCTTCATGATAATATAAATGTGCATATGAAAAACTTACAAGGTATGCATAACGGGTACAGGATATCATGTCAGTATTATCCCAAATTTCATCGCTCGATCTTGATTCACCTACCCCGTTATCAACGTGAACGATCTGAAATAGAAACATTTCAGTAGTTTCTTCCTTGTGTATATAGCAATACAAAGATACTGACCAATCCAACAAGCGTATGAAGGTCAGGTATTGACCTTGTACATCGCTCACAGCCACGATCAGGTTTAATACCTGTCAATAGCTGGCCAAAATAATTGAATTACAAATGAGAGACTTGTCGTTCAATGACTAGATCATATAAGGATGAATAAGACTTACTACAGTGTGTAAGTTTTCTCGGGCATGCTTTGCCTTTTCCTTGATCATGGTTGCCAAGGTCTGAGTGTCGGATGTGAGAGCGATTCCATTAGGCTTGGGTGGAAGTTGCTCGGTACACCACGGAAGCCCCTGTTGAAGGATTGACTTCTGTGTTGGGGAAGAAAAATTAATCAGTAAGTATTGGGGAAGAGAACTTTGACACTCACCTTGATCTTCCTAAAAAGTGAGTTCTCGATGATTGTCTTGTTTGGCTTCCTGATAATAGCGGTGTAGGCTTCAATACTTGAGTCGATGACGTGTTGACAACCTAATTGAAAGGTTAATTTCTATTTGATTGAAAGAAAACAAAAATCGGATTGTGATAAGAAAGAATGCACCAATGTAAGAGTGTGTGATCAGAAGAATTACTTTCCTTGATTGGCTCCTTTGGTTTCCAAGGTAAACTCGAGTTTGTGCCAGACACACGATGAGAGGTAGATGAATCATTTCTTACCTCACCGGAATCCAAATGCTCTTGAACTCTCTCAATAACATCATTTGAAATATTGTCTTTGATGGTGTCGATTCTGTCCATGAGTTCATCACGGATACTGGCTTGACCGTCAAGAACATCTTGATGTATCTTGGATAGAAACAATCCAAGATTAATGGCGTGGTCGGCTGGAGTATCGCACTAAAATTTAAGATAGAAATTGATCAATACCACTATATTAGATTAATAAAAAAAACTCACATGTGACAACCAGCTTCCCATTTCAATATGGCTTTCATCGAGGCCAGGCATTCCATCAGCTGCAAGTGTGAATGGACTGGCTGAATGACTGCGTTGATGTGATTTGGAATCGCCATTTGCCTCATCTTCATCTTCGTTTTCGATGTCAATTTCATTTTCATTTGATTCAATTTTGTTTTCGTTTTCATTTTCAAATCCAAACTCATTTTCATTTGATTCATTTCCATTTTCATTTTCAAATCCAAACTCATTTTCATTTGATTCATTTTCATTTTCATCTTCATCTTCATCTTGATTGATTTTGTTTTTATTTGATTCATTTTCATTTTCATCTTCATCTTCATCACAATACAGAAGAGATGGTGATCGAGAAGGAGGAGAACGAGCATGAGACGGTGATCGAGAACGAGCATGAGACAGTGATCGAGATGGTGAAGGTGAACGAGATCGAGATCGAGATCGAGATCGTTTTCGACCTTTGCTGTTTGATTTGTTTTTGAGTTGCGAGTTTTGTGGATGGTCTTCGAGGGCAGGGTTTTGAGAGATGAGAGATTTGTTGATTGTTTCAATGAATTGTTTTGTCAGGTTAGGATTTGATTGTGAAGGAGCTTTGGTAGATTGTGAAAGCTTTTGAGTCAACTGTTTTTGAGTTGATTGTGATGGTTTTTGACTTGATTGTGACGGTTGTCAAATTGTTTTTAAAGTGTTGGAAGTCGATTGAGAAGGTTTTGAAGTCGATTGAGAAGACGGTTTCGTGTTGGGCTTTTTATTGCGAGGAGGCATGGTCGATCGAAGGGGAAGAGTGAACGTGGTAAACAGCTTCAGTCCTCAGATTTCGAGAGATCTGAAGTTGTTTTATTTGCCCCGGTCGAGGCCATTTGAAAGCCCGCTGGCCTCGACTTGATCCAGCTGTTGTAAAACTTTACCTTGTAAAAAATGTTCTCGATTCAATAAAAATTGAATTTTTTCTCACATTTTAGATGTTTTTTTCATCCTCCAATAAACTTTTACAAACAGTTTTGAAACTTTCATTGATATAATTCAACATATAACTTGCACATGTGATGTACTTCATTCACAATGATGTGATGATAACAAAAAAAAACTTTAGAAAACAAAACTACAAAAGAAGAAAAATAAAAAATCAATGAGTCTCAATTGATAAACAAAACATGACAAAATAAACATGAGATTCAATTGGTGTTTTTTTTCTTCCTGCTTTTGGTGGAATGTGGAGGTGGTTTGGATTCCCAAACGTCTAACCCCTTGTCAATTGCTTCTTTCCACTGTTCCGGAGTTACCTTCGAGATGATAAGTGCAGATACCTTTCGATGGGCTTCGGCTGAGTATAATGCACCTGCATTGATGATGTAAGAGTTAAGTGGATTATGGTTGATATAGTAGTTTGATTGTGACACTAGGATTCTCTCGACTCTTTTCTGGTGGCTATCAGTCACAGAGCACGAAGCCTCACGGCAGTTGTGTTGTACATTGATAATGCAATCAATTTCCTGGATAGTTTATAAAGACCAAGAAATGTCAGCCGCATGTATTAAAGAGTCATTTTCAAAGAGCTTACTGATGCTTTCATCCATACAAGATCTTCTTTAATGACAATTTCTCGCATTCCATAGAATGGTATAATTCGATTGCGGCTGCACTTTTTGACCAAGAACAAACTTCTTGAAGCTGATTGGTCTGCCGGTTTCCAAATTGATTGAACTTGACCAATATTGCTGGTATCTTTGATCTATATTTTAATCTTGGTTCAGAACGTAAAGCTGTACAGCTTAGATAGTCTATGAAAAAACTTACCAGAACAAAGTCGCTATTTTCAACCTTTTGTTTGTTGAGTAATGTCAGACTTACAATTTCTTGCCACGAGTGTTGAGTTTGTAAGTTTGATAAATAAGACGGAATAGCAGATTCAGAGTTTTTTTGCAATTTTTCTTATTACAGAATGTGATGTCAGTTTGGGAAAAAAACATGAATTGAAAAGATGTGATCAAATATGATGATGGACTCACTACCAGCAATAAATTCCGGACGTTGATTTGATGTTAAGTCACACCCCAGAGCGTGTTGAATCTGAGAGTGATCAGGAAATTTTGAATTCAATTCCGGTCCTGCAGTGACCATCTCATCAAGTTCTCGATCATAAAACGGGCTTCTTGACGTCAACATCTTCAATAGTTCCCAATTGTTGAAAGTATTGGCTATATCACTTCCAGGACTTTGATGACTAGAATGAATTGAAGCATATCGTAGGACCCCGTTGAAAGATTCAAATTTTTGTGTAGCAAATAAAGGTGCAGGTCCAAGACGTCGGATTGATCCAGGTAAGTGCGTCAGCATGTGGAATTTCGGTTTGTTCACCCATTGCGCTGTGATTCCAATTAGATTTTTGAGAAAGATTTCAATATGGGATTGTAATTCGTCGAGATAAGAGTCCATATTGGTGATTTTTGCTTGAAACACATAAGACGAAAGAAGGCAAAGTGATGTCCATAGGCGTCGTTTTTCCTGAGAAAGATGGCCAAACAAGACAAAAGGAACAGTCTGTAAAACCGTTTGAAATTCTTTACCCACAAGACTTTGATTATATTGAATCAATGTGTTAGGTTGGATCGGAGAAATGTTGAGACCTTTAATGTTGAAAGCATGCCAGCGCGCTGAAGATTCGTTATATTTCGCAGAACCGGGCTTCATCGCACCTAACTCTTTCATTGTATCGCGGAATAATTCCTTTGCATTTCCAAGTAAAACCACATGAAGGATCTCAACCGGAGTATCAGCATTTACCATCAAAACCTGACCAATTGAATGTTAGTGCTGTTCTTCAAAAAATTCAGAGAAAGAACAAAAATTCTACTTACCTTTGAGCCGAAGCATTGGATTGAAAAGGTGATCTCCGAGTTCATCGTTGAGTTTCCGACATATCTCTTCAACCTCATGACGAGGTTGTGATTGATAAGCTACTCGAACTTTTTGAATAAAATGATCACATGTTGAATCACAAATACCAAACTTCCGACCCATCTGTTCCACAGTCGTCTTTGAGTTCGGCTTTTGCGCAGCTTTCCAGATCTGAACAGTTCTTGAGCGTGTCTCGTCCCAGTCACGCTTGGGAGAAATACTCTGCAAACACGAAATTAAAGAAGCAAAAATCAGATCCAATTCTTTACATATAAGATCTGAGCCCACTCACATGTTCAAAATTCGAATCTAGTCCAACAAATTGACGTATAAATGTTACTGCCTTCTTTTTTCCCATGGTATCAACTTGAAGTGGGCATACTCTACATGGTGTGAGAGTTATGGCTGGGTTTGTTGTATTAGTGATCTCCGCATGCATCGGCGAATCTCCTAGATGACATAGAACTACGACCATGGCTACCACATCCTTTCCTGATGCGTAGTCAAACGCTTCAAAGCCCACTTCGCTCAGATGGCTATAATAAACAAAGTCAGCTTGATTCTTAAGCTTTGAATTTTGGATATTAAATTACGCACTTTAATTCATCTACTACATTATCAAAAAGTTCGAGTGCACTTGCCCTATTTGAAGTCGCTAAAAAATGAATATTATATTCTTGATTTGTCATTTCCGGCGGTAAACCCGACAAAGTGAAAAATAAGCTCATATGCTTATTCCATTTCTTTGATACATTTCCGGACGTATCATCGGAGTATAAAGTAAGTGGAATATGTTTGATTATCTTCCCATCGGCTTTAGATCGCCAAGGGTTGATTAAGGGCAGGGTAATAAAGTTTTCGCCTTTGGACTCTGTTAATGCGAAAAGACTGTGTTAGCACAAAGAATCCGGCTGATCAGTTGTAAATTTAATATGCTCACGTATGAATTTATCTTTGAGGAAATCTTTTAGTAAACCTAATCCTTCTATCATGATTTTATCAAAGTGTTTTGATAATTTATTAATGTCAATGGTGAGTAATAAAGGTGAATCAAAATCAGGCTCCTCAGGAATATGAACTGCAACTTCATTGTAATTATCATCTCGAGGAATAATTTTTGCTTGAAGACATTTAGCAAAGAACTTTCCGTCTTGTTGAAAGAGGTGAGTCGGAACCACCAAATGCCCAGAGCGCAGCTGATAGATCTCGTAGATGTAGATGTGACCGATTGGAGATTCAATCATTTGAGCTCGAATTTCTCGGTCGAATTCTTTGAGCCATTTGTTGGATTGAGAAAGACATGTGACCGGAATATTAGTTCCTGCGGTCTGTTCGGGTATGGTGACAATATGTGGACTGATGAATGGGTTCGCCAAATCCTGGAATAAATGATATTCTTTGATTAACTTGCCATGAATACTCAAGTAATTATAAATGAAACTCACTCGTCGGATTATATCTTCAATTTTCAGTCCAAAGAGAGGAGTACCCAAAGGACTTCGGCGCTGAACAACTGATAAACCAAATCTTTCTTTCAATTGCTTCTTCAACGCTCGAAGCACCCCCCATTCGGGGAGGTAGACCGAGCAGATTCGCAAAATTGAACGGATGCGGTGATACTGTGACCGGGACAATAGGTTTCGTGTTGTTCCAATGATAAGAATTGCGATGAAATGCTGGAATGAAAAGCGGAAAAAAATTAGATAGAAAAACTAATAGTTTTTGGAGAAAGAAATCAAGTTCACTTACCTCTTTCTTTTTGAAAGGAAACCAACCTTTACTCTCTTCTTTCTTTGCTTCAGCTAACTCAGAATCAAGCATTGCTTCGTAAACAGCATCATCTTCTTCTTCGCCCAAGTCTTCTTGATCCAACATCTCGAGCGCTTGAAATAATAACTGTCTTTGTTCAGTTTCGGACCCAGAGTTTGAAGAATTGTCATCATCGGACAGGATTGGTCCTAAAAGTTCTAAGACATCTAAAATTGAATCGCCAAGGTGATCTGATTCGTCATCCGTTTCCATAGCATCTTCAGGCCATTGGTTGTTTGAAGGAGATAGAGCTGGCGCGTGTGAAAGTGGAGCAAGTAGTTCTTCATTATCAGCCTCTTTGGCCAACAATCTCTCGACATTTATTTTATGTGGTTCAGAATTGGAATGTCGTTCATAATTGACTATATTTCGGCTCTGACATGCATTGCACTTATAGAGTGGTACAGCCGGATTTGAGGATACTGATTCAAAAACTACAGTATGAAATCAGAATCAGCAATGGGTTGATAAGCATTGAAGGTTCAAATAACTTACAACGTGGTAGCTTTGGAACATTCTGAGCCATTTTTTAATAACCAGCTTTATCAATAAATTTAAAATGCTATCAATCAAGAACTCTCTTCTTAAATGTTGTATTTTATCTTGAACCTCACATCAACTTATTGAGTTTTTGATCTTCAATTTTAAAACTGTATCAATATTTTATTATGATTTCTACTTTGGATTGACACTGTATATCTTATACCCTCAGATGAGGATCTTTGTCTTTTTCCAATTTAAAAAATGCACTTCTTTTATTCAGTATATATAAATTTATATAGGATGATATTGTAATATAAAACTATTTTAAATTTGACACTACAATTGATCTCATGCACTTCTTCAACTGATATAATTTGATCTAAAAGATTGTAATATAAGACTGATATTTATCAAAAGAAACAACAGATCAGGTTTGTATCAAGTCAAATCAATGAAAGCAAGGGAATGATTTGAATGGGACTTACTAACTCAAAGGTAACAGATTGATACCACTAAGTCAAAGGTGGATCAACAAAGATACAAAGTCAGTTGAGGTTTTGAAGCTTTGACAAACAATCAAGCAAAAAAAACTAACCAAAATCTCGATTTGAAAGCAATACTTGGACTTGGTATCCCAAGTTTCAAACAATTGATTAAGGATTTGATTAATGCAATTGTATTGATTTGACGTCGAAATCGATGTTGATTGTTGAATTCCGCGGCCGTGCGATCGAGAAAGAAGTGGTAATATCGATTATTGGTGGCGGATTTGGTTAAAGCCGGACCGGCGATCAAATCGCCAGCTCGACTGATGCTCGCCTGCGGGCGGTATCAAGGCGGGCGGCAGCCACCTAACAGACGTTCGCCCGCCCTTTTGCAAATTAACTACGCAGACCGGCTGCAGTCCGACTACCAGCGGTACTCATTCGGACTATAGCCGGTATGTAGCCCGCTCTCACCGACCATTTTCAGGCCTGTGAAAGGCCATTTTCAGGCGATTCTCCGGCCATTTCACGACCCCGACGACGCTCAGACGGCACCGACGCTTTTTCTGCTCAGAAACCACTCCGTGGTGTACCTTCCTTCCTGAACTGCGGCCCACGTGAGTAGGCCGAGCTTGTAGCGTCCAACATTCATGGGTATATGCTGACCACAGAGTTGTCGATACACACCACGACACGCCGCGCCACTGCCCTCTTCACCGAATGTATCCTTTCACCACCCTTATTTCCTTTCACCAACCTTATTCAAAATCTGACCATCCGACCTTAGTCCTTCTTCGACCATCGCCATTACGTATTCCTTATCCCTTATCAACTCTTTGGCTTACACCCATTCCCAACAAACCATCCATTTCATCTCAACCTTTAACAAACACCTCTCGCATTTCACTCTCTGTCGAAACACATTATGCTCCTAGTCGATTTCGCCACTCGGCTCAGCCAACATCACCCGCAACTGGCGTCGCGTCTGACAGTGACTCACCTTGTCAAATTCGTCACTCTTGCCACCGAGGTGTACCACCGCGCCGACAAAGCCTTACAGTTCAACTCGCAAGACACACGAATGCTCCCCTTTCTGCAGCTTGCGTTGCAGCTCCAGCTTGCGCTTAGCAATTACAACGATTTATGGAATCTCACTTTTCCTATGCTCCCTTTCGCCCATCTTAACCCAGGAGCCCTCATTCGAAACCATGGCCTCCACCCGCGACTGACGACAAAGGTACACGAAGTATACCTAATACCTCCCACCTCGACTTGCTTCAATTGCAATCGACGCTCGGGGCACAGCCTTCACCAACGACCCCGCATCGATGGCTATCTCTACGATCTGGATGGCATTCACTCTGCCGAGTTCCATACCTGGGCTTGCCTCGGTAAGTTCTGCCACCTGCGCCAAGCTCACCAGTCTCAAATATACACTGACCATACATCGCTCGGTGGGCAAAGATTGTAAGACGTATTACCGACCATCGTATTATACCTCCAAAAAAAAAAGGTTTTACTATACTCCGGATCAGGGTGCGGACCCACTGCACTACCAGGTGCATTGCCACTTTGCTATGACTCATCGACTCGCACAGTCATTTCGCCAATCCCAGATGCTTGGGCAGTCAGTTGAATTCGATGAAATAACCTTGCATAGATTACCTTTTGCTGACATTTCCTCCTGATCAAGTACATCCCACTTCAATATAGTTAATCTTTTCAACTTGACGTACTGGAAGGATCAACTCGTACCAACTCACTCCGCGGCCCAAATTATATCTCACAAAATGTCAGAAGAATTCACTCGCGATGCTCTCGATCTGTTCAGCTTGCTGCGCCGATACAACCGCCGCGGAGCTGTGGTATCGGTCGTTGCGCAGGGGACCCAAGACAATCGTTTGTCACCAGCAATGGCCCGGGAGCTACATCATGTGGCAAATCACGGGTCGAAATACCGTGGCCACTTTTGTTCACTGTGTTTCAAAACCACCGAAGTGGTTCACGAAGGGCGCAAGGCGACTCTAGGTACTGTAACTGATCGCATTCATAGCACATTGATCACGGATGTAGCCTTACATTGACCGTTTCATTCATCCAGGGATACGCGCGGTTGTGACCGATGGACTAACCATCGGTCATTGGCGTTGCACTGTGTCCTCAGTTCAGCTCGAAGATCTGGCTCATCGAGCTGGTGCACCGCCACCCAATGGACCGTGCCTCAATCCACTCCCCAAGGTAACTTCTCGATTTTGCGAAGAGCACGCGAAGAAATTGGAAGGCTGGTGTGAAGCGCAACCATGCACAGCGCTTGCTGCAGACAATTCGAAGACTTGTTCGAACCCGGCTCATGTACAAGCGATGCAAGACTTTGATATTCGCAAGAAGAAGGCATTTACCCTGAAATCAATGCTCAATCGACCAGGTTCGAATCTACCATCAGACCCGTCTGTTCATCTCAACCCCGACACGTTGGAAATTATCGATTTGGAAATGATTTATCAAGCTGACGAAGCTGATCGTGCACATGAGGCTGCCCGAGATGGTGGCACAGCAAAGCCCAAAGGTGCGGCGTGTCTGAGTCGCAGTCGGACTCATAATGATCAAACTGTCGTCGGGACCTGCGGGATCTTCTTGGCTAGGCAAACGTTCTACAATTCGGAGGCACCAAGCGCTCTGAGGGTAAGCGTTGAGGCCATCTTGAACTAAGGTAAAAGGGTTTTTTTGCTGATGATCTCACTTCTAGGACTACCTGGTCGACACGTTCCCCAACGGCCTGCCCGAGGTGATCTTTTACGACAACGCCTGCACCTTACTTCGAGTGATTCACAACGGAGACATTGATCCCACCCCTTTTGCCAACACCATCATTCCCGTGGACCCTTTCCACCATCGGGCTCACGCGCAGGGTGATGAATTCTGCCAAATGTACACCGATCCCAAGCTTTTTCCAGACATACAAGAAAACGGATCTTGGGTCTTTAATGCCTCCGCGGGCGAATTGGGTAATATCTGGTACGGTGGCTTCGCATCCATGTGTCGAAATATGCAAGCCACCCACTACGAATTTTTCCTTGAAGAGATGGTGGAGTACCGCAATGATTGGCTTAGTGATGCATTGGCTTGTCGTTCCGATGTGAAATTTATTGGCCTGGGCAAGTTGTAAGTAGAACAAACAGAAGTTAAGGAGTTTATTTTAGAGCGCGCCCTCCAAAAGTTTTTCTTGTAAGGTCATGAGGATTGTCGAAATGTGTTGGTGCTTTGTTATTATAATTGTGTTGAACTCGAGTGTACTTGAGTTCATAAATACTCAAGTACACTCACTCATAACTTAATCCCGTAGGTTGTGAGTGAGTAGTACAGCGATGTAAACAGACCTACGTGGGTGTAGGTCACCATGAGGCGGTGGACGTTTTTTGGTAATAACATGTGGTCATAGTGTACGGTTTATGCTCTTGACTAAGAGGAACATTTGAGATGCGTGCCTGGGTTCGACTCCCAGATAAGTACATGTTTCCATCAGCAGGAAATCTGGAGCCTAGCTTGTCTAAGTCCACACTGGTGTTGTTCCTGGGGATCATCGATAGCCTTTATACAACTTGAAGTATGCCCTGACAAATAATTTTTGCTCCTGTTGCAAACTATTTAGCACATATTAGACATTACATTGTCTAACATATCTTTATTTGTTAATAAACACAAAACACACATCATGGCCTGAATTCATTGCAAAAATCCAAAACTGATTGTATGTTTACAGTGGCAATCATATACATCAAAGAAAGAATAAAATTGGACAAATCAAACAAATTTATTCCAAATGAATAAATGGATAAAGCTAAAAAAAATTCATTTACACATTTACACAAAGATAGTCAACATGTGAAAGATTGTGACCTAGATATGAAACATAGATACTAGGTCACCAAAAAAAGGAAGAAATGAGCTGCTACCATGGAAGTTATTTCCTCCAAAGGTTCAATCTTCTTGAGGGTCTACTGGAGGGGCTCCCACCGGGTAATAGGGAGGTGGTGTTGTTAACCCTATATCACGACACATATGGCCACAAACGTGAGTTGATGCGAATAGCTGTAATCCTCCGGTGTAGGGGTTTTGCAGGAACCAAGGACGACTGCAAGAAGGAATATTTTGGTGAGTATTCTGAAAAACATAATAAAAATTGATAGTACGTACGTATTATCCATCATGGTGACATCAGTTATAGTAGATTCCACCCCACGGAACCCACAAAGTAACGCTTGTCGACCGTGATATTCATAGGTCCAGTGGGTAAAACATTCAAAAAGACGGCCAAAGAAAGAGTCAATATGGTGCCTGGGGGCAAACTCGCAGTCGGAGGTGATGTATTTTGGAACAGCACCATGCAATGTTTGACGCAAGTTGAAGAAGCTTATCAACTTGGCTCCAAGCTGCTTGGTACGGATCATCTTGCGCAAAACTAAGTTTGGTACAATCTAATGTGTCACACCAAGAGGCATAGTGGTCAGTCAGTTGTTATTGGTACGTGAAGAGACAGAGACCGTGTTTATTGACTCACCTGTAAATGGTCAAGAGTCTCAGATTCTTCATGACTTAACAAGACATGCTGACGGACCACTGGGTCGAATTTGTTGAGGAGGCAGGCAGCGTGAGCTAACACTTGTGCAAAGCGCAGGTGATCATGGATGCTGTTTGCCCAAGGGGCCAATGCAGTAACCTCCATAGGAATGGAGTTGGCGTACACGGCTGAGTGAGTCGTTCGACCGTCCCATTGATGGAGCACGGCGCGGTCTACAGTAACGTTAACTGCTTTACAACCCCACTGAAATCGAAGTGCGTCTGATGCTGTAGTTGGTACATCTTCGCGTCGTACTAGCCCAAAGACATGATCGCGGTCGCCGACATCAGTTTGAACCACTTGTGGGTCGTCGAATGGCAGAGCGTTCCAACCAAAATTCTCGGAATCACTAAGTACTTCCTTTGGTGACACTGTTAAAAGATTTCAGCCAATGAAACATTCGGACCTTCTATCTTAGATAGGGAGGAAACTTACAGAATCCTACAGTGGAGTACAGACTCATGTTTGTGTTTTTTCCCCGCTTGTAGACTGTGAACGGAGACGGAGTAAGATGAAGTGGAAAGAGGCCAGGCCACAAACTCAAAAGCAATCAAACGGGCGGGTATAACCAATGGAAAGAGGCGAGCAAAATGGCAAATCGATGGCAAAGAACAGTCGAATGCAAAGAAAATGTGTAAAGGGGAATGGTTTGGTTTGACCAAGGTGCCGATGGAGGGGGGAAAGTCAATGAATGGATGATGTTGAGGGGAGTAACGAGCACAAGCGGAGCGACACCTCCGTTTTTATACCAACTGATAAACCTTGCTGGAAAGAAATGGTCAGGCGTTTGGCGGATGGCATTACTGAATGAATTGCACGTTGTTAACTACTCAAGGAACTGAAAACAAACACTGATTAATGAAATGAGGAATCTATGGTAGGCTACAATGGACCCTTTGCAACAGCGTGGCAGGCCCGACGGTGACTTGTTGAGTGACGAAGTTGGTGTCGCCATGTCGTTTTCAAATTTGACTGACTGCAACTTACTCGTCTTCTTCTTCTTCTTCTTCGCTTTGTTCGTCTTGTTCTTCTCCTGATGCTTCTTCATTTTCAACTCCTGCAGTATTCTTGCGCTTGAAAGAAACGACGTCGTACTCCTTCTGAAAAAAGGGTCTACTTTGAGCCACGGTGAGGTCGTATTTGTTGATTACGCCTTGCTCTGGCCATTCTTGCGACCATTGATACATCCGTTTGTAACCAACTAAATCGACCCAAGACGCGTAGCGGTAGACGGTTGAATTGGCAAGTAGATAGTCCTTCCCATAAAGCTTCTTCCAAAGCTTCATACGAGCTTTACGGCGTGGAGGGTTCCCCGCTTTAAGGATCCAAGATAGAAGGGAGGAGAGTAGAACATCGGCACCGGGCCATACTCGTAAGGCGGCGCGCGCACCAGAGCGAGGCAGGAAGTCTGCATCGATGCAGGGCTTGACGTCCACCTATAACCCAGTAGTAGCATTTCGGTGGTCAGTGAGTGATTTTTATCATTTGCAAACATCATAATTTCACACACTTGTGTGTCGGACTCCGGGGTAGAAGGGATCGCCTGTTGGCTAGTGGAAGTTTCTGGTCGAGGAAGTTCAATTTCCGAGTCCGACTCCTCAAGGCTGATGGGATTTTGTCTTGAACCACGTAGGACAGACGATGACGGTTGTGGTTGTTGTGGGACTGGGCCTGGAGTTATCGGTTCGAGTTTGATGATGGGGGAGCTCGATTGAACTGGTGGTTTCCGCACGAGTGGTTTACCCAAGGATAGTCCTTCAAGGATGTCTTGGAGTTCGAGGGTGAGTGCTGCACGCTGGTGAGGTAAGCAAACCACAAGGTTTCTGGAGGTTGTGGTGTAAGTATGAGGCAGAGTGACCCCAATCTCGCGCTGGTGAATGATCTCACGAGATCAAAATCAATATTGATGTGGGTCACCATTGGAATCACGGATAAACGTACCCAATTTCTGATGGCTTCATCCCATACAACCAGAGTATTATTCCATTGTGGGCCCGCTGCAGCTTGGGCCGCGCGGAGGAGGCTCTGGTTGTCTTTCAAGATGGCGACAGGCCAGTCGTTGAATAGGTGAGAGATCACTGGAGTCTGGGAAGCCTGTAACATCATGTCAGCGAAGACCGTTAGAGCGAGCATTGGGAACCATAATAAGACTTACCATGGTCACGAGGTGAATGCTCACCACCTTTAATGGGTCGACGGCAGGGGTTGTTGACTGTTTGGTCGCAGATGATTCCAAAAGTAATTCCTCATCGTCCGACAGGATATGTCCAACTCGTCGGACATATTGGGCACACTGAGCTGGGATGAGTTTGGGGCGTTTTGGTGCAGGTGCATTCACAGGTGGTGCACGACGTGGAAGGGCTGGCGTTGTGGACACATTGGGTACCTGGGAAGGAGTCGCGGGTGGTTCCTTAACACGGTGGACGTAACAAACATCTGGGGCAGTGAATTCTTGGCAACACTACCCTCAAACATAGTGAGTTTATGTCGCGGGAACCATCGATTACACACACTTACAGATTTGCAGAAAATGGAGACACATCCAGCATGTCCGGTCTTCTTGTGGCACTTGGCAGTTGGACCAACTTGTGGCCGGGCGCAGTCGATGGCAGGAGTGGTTCGATTAGATGCTTTCGACTGGGTCGACTTCTTCGGGCTGATTCGAGGTGCCAAGGTCATTCCCTTAGCGTTGACTGGAGGCCCGTGGGCAGAGGCATCGAAAGGGATTGGGTAGGTTCCGCCGGCGTTGATCAAAGCGATCTCGTGTCGAAGCTGGTTGAGCTTGAATGTTCGGCAAAAGTGCTTCACACTAGGGCACTAGTGATGTGAGGAATACTAGTCAGTGGAAATTGTCGATTGGGAGGAAATCGGATCAGGGGGGACTGGAGTACCCACGTTGACGTTGAGGGTGTCCTTGGTATCGTCTTCTTTTGAAGAATAAACTAGAGATGCGTTGCTTGATGGGGGGCACTCTGGGCATGCAAGACCCACAGGCTTTCCGTAAGCCGGTTGAGGGATAATGGGATATGAAGGCAGGCGCCGGTATTTGGTGCCTATGTACGGATTTCCAACCATAACAGTCGTCGATGCAGGGATACGCGGGTGGTTGTCGAGTGGCGAGAAGGATCGAAAAGGATGGTGAATGTGTTGAATGTGATGGGGGCATCGTCGGCAGAGAAAGGTTTTCGAAGGGTACTCCCAAATCGGGCGTGTTTCACTTGGGACTATGAAAAAATTTGCTTGAGGAAAAAAAAGAAGAAGGAGGAAACGGAAAAAAATGGGTATACGCGTGCATTGTAGGTTATGGGTTGCAAAAGGTCTGATGATCGGGGCTACGAGGATAGCGCGCAGCAATTCGAGGCCGGTCCTTCCGGCTACAAGGATATATAAAATACATCTATGCCTATACGTGTGACTGTACAGCCTGATGGGAATTATCTTGTGGGGATTCCCATCGATAATCCAGATTCCGGATGCTCCCCAAATTTTGGCAAGCTTTTTGAAAATGACTGTAACACCTTGTCTCAGATCTGACTAAATACGGCTTAAGCCAGCAGTGATTGGCACTTAAAATCTTTCAAAACCAGCTGTACTGTATGGCTCTTCAACTGATAAGTCTATCCAATCAAGCCAATTGATTTTCTGTTCAGAAATCCGTATGCTACAACATATCATAAGATCCTTCTTTTGAAGAAACTACAAAGTCAAGAATCTCAACTAACAATATACAGAATTTTAATTGAAAGTAGTCTTTACCTTTCAGAGGAAACTCATTTTCATAAATCAAGTCAATGCCAATCAAGATCCATTGATCTAAGCCAAATCTACTTATAAAACCGCATAACAAATCCCATTTGTTCTCCCCCATTCCACTTAAAGAAACAAAATCTACTTAAATTCAAAATTGCATACAAACACACCTACCTAACAACATTTGTATGTATACATAAAAAAGAAAACCATTTTACACTTTTAAAGAACCTTCTAACAGCTTGAGTTAATAAGGGTACTCAAAGTAAAGTATGTAGTGCTACATACTTTTTGCTACATACTTTTTTGGCGGGGACAAAGAAAAAAAGATAGTTTTGGCCTTGTCTTCCCCGCCAAAAAAAGTATGTAGCAAAAAGTATGTACACGTACATACTTACTTTGAGTACCCTTAATGATGTAAAAACAACATTGTATCAAACCAAGGGATCAAGAGAAAAAACCACACAACAAACCAGAGAGATAAACTTCAACTTTCTCAATCCCTTCTGAACCCAATAAAAGATGAGCTTATCACTCAGACCCATCCATCCATTTTTGCTGTTGATGGAACTATAGTAGGAGTATGCACTTGCTCATGAGTTTATTGGGGCTTTATCATTGTCACTCACCAGTACTCCATCATCATCCATCACTAGCATTCCATCATTATCCATCCTTGGTACAGAAGGGCTGTCATGGTTTCTTTCAGTTGGTACCAGTTTCAAAGACTGTGAGACAAGTGTCACCGCAGATGATTGTGTAGTGTTCTAGGTTTCCTCAGTTATGGGCTGTGACCCCGAGTTTGTTAAAGATCCTTCATGATCAACAATACCAAGGCCGGGGATAGGAGAAAATTCCAAGTCTTTCCTGGTGACCTCTATGGTTCCTGAGCTGATGGTGGTATGAGATTCTGACAGTTCAGCAGCCTCACTCTGATGCCATGGTTCATTTGGAATAGCTTCTTGGTTTTGAGGAGTAGCCGCCTCCATTGGATCAGAGATCTCCCAAGGTTGGAGTGAATCAAGAGGTAATGAATGATCATATGATTGAGATGATTTTGGAGCTTTAGAATGCTCAGTTTCTTCAACAATTGAATGTCCATTTGGCACAATTGATGGAAGCAAGGATAGTACTGGAGGCTCAGTAGGGGGGCTAGGCATGACAGAGCCTAGAGCAATCAAGCCGTTAGGATAGCTAGCAAAAAACAAGAGAGAAGTTCAATTAAAGTTCTCCTCACCATCAAGAGGCTTTTCAAGACCAAGTGCATGATCTAAACCAATCTTTGATACATTTTTTCCAGTCCATTGGGCCTGCCCTGAGACTTCATCACCTTCACACATTATCACATCAGCACCCTTGTTCTCATATGGTTGATCGTCAATCACGTCATTGTAAGACTGCTCTTCCATATCAATCTCTTTGAGTCTTGATTCTTTGTTGGCTTGTGATTTGGGTAAAGGCAATTTCCCAGATGCCACTTGTGGATCTGAAGGTGTTGGAGCAACTGGAACTGAATGATCCTGTGTACCACTCACACTTCTATCTTCCTCCTTGTCTTCATCCATCTTGATTTCTCCAGCAATATGACCAGTTTCTAGTCCTGCAAGTTGTCCTCCAGTGCCTTCAGTTTCTGCGCCTATGGCTCGAGAGGTCTTTTGGCCTAATTTAGATAACCTAGATGGGCTGGCACCTGCAACAGGAGAATCACCATTCCTCTCTGATCCTCCACCATCATCATCGTCCTCCAGGACATTCGCTTCATTGCTTGAGCCATCAATAGTGTTGGGATCATTGATACAGCAAGGAGCTGAGGTTTGGTTGTTTTGGGCCGATTGGTTAGTTGTTGGGCGAGTGGAATGATCACGTCGAACCCATTTAAGAACCTTGTAGCTCGAATGAGGTGAGACTTGAACCCAAGCTTGACAATATCTTGGTACCGGTGTCAAAAGGGCTTTCCCACGAGCTCTGAAAGTTGGAGAAAATGTGGTGGCAAAGGAGGAAGCACACATAGGAAGAGTGACGGTAAGCTTCTGAATGTAGTATGTAAGGATAGGCTACAAAATATGACTTACTGCAGTTCACCCGCTGAAACGTACTGTCCTGGAATAATTGGATTGCATCAAGAGATCAAGAGTCAGCCGGATGATCAAATAAAATTCGGATTGACAAAGTATGAAGTCATATTGAAGTGAAAGCTGTGGGATCGGGGTGAGAGGATATGAGAAGCTCAGATCTGATTTGGAAGCTACTCATCCGCCCCGATCCGTACCGGGTCAAATCATACAAAGGGTTATTGAAAAGGGAGTAGTGGGGTAGTGGAGAGGTTTTGCGAGTGGTATTTCACTTGAACAAAGTCAAAGTCAAAGTCACTGTAAAGTAAACATACCCTTTCTTTCCCGCCAACGGCTTGACATAATTGATTGATTTTTAGAATTCAGTTATGAATCTGTTTGTCTGTAAAAGCATACAAACGGATCACTTGGAAATTGCACCCGAATGTAACTTATAAATAAGCACCAAAAGAAAAATGATGACCAAAACGAGGTAAAGAAGACCAGAAAATGAGGCCTTGCGATCGATCTTTCAATATTTGAAGTTCTAGACGAGATGACATACGGAATTCATGTCAGCGCTAAGATGGATTTTGTAATCTGACATCAAGTCGTTTTATACTTACTCGATTACCTTGACTACACAACATTTTGCAGCACTTCTTTTCTCAGAAATGACATCCCAACAATATTGATCAGCAAGAAAGATACCATGAGTCCAGATATAAGATCATCATCATTGTTGATGATGATGATGAGAATTTTCTGAATCGAAGGAACAGAAGAAACCACAAACAATTTTGAAAAAGAGATGAACTTATGATAAAGGATAGAAATGGTAAACTGGTTGGTTAACAACCTATTACGTCACTTTCATGTTGGTCATCAGCTTTTTTCAAAACTGCACAGCAACATTCTATTTCATTACCACATGTTGATTACAAATCATGTTACATGAAGGGCTTGGATCGGTCAGCTGCTCAGGTGGCTTGCACGACCTCGAACGGCGCGAAGAACGCGAAACCTTCAAGACTTGGAAAAGATAAAGGCTTCACTGAAATGGTATAAGATAATCTTGCTAACAAGGAAATTTGGTAAACAGAGCACGAAGGGTTATCAACAAACCAAAAGCCAACAACCGAAAAGTCATTGGGTAAACAGGATTTGGAGAGTCAACAATTAAGCTATATGACTGGCACAATTAAGTACAGTCATCTCAGAAAAGCTTGACCAAGTGACAGATTTTATTTCGAAATTGTAGAGCGGGACAAAACTAGAGAACTAGTGTTAGTTCTAATCTACCAAAACAAATAGGAAAATGTGACAATTGCATAAAGATGAAACTTGTTCTAACCTAGAGAACTAGTGTTAGTTCTAATCTACCGAAACAAATAGGAAAATGTGACGAAAGAAAAGCTAATAAGTTTTAGGAAAACAATGGAACTTTTTATACAAAACACGTTTGACGTGGCGTTTACAAAAGACGAATTAGGAAGAAAAGAAACCTAGTTTAGATCACAATCATCTGAACACTTCTAACCGGTCTAAACCGATCAAGGGTGAGAAAAGGGGCTGAGTGGCTTGTCCTCTACGATGCCAAGTCAGTCCGGGCCTTAACACCCCCCCCTCAACCTTTAGAGGTTTACATTTCATACATGCACATGTTCTTTTTATGAGTCTGAAAAACCGTGTTACCTAATGCCTTAGTAAGAATATCAGCTTTTTGATTAGGGCCGTCAATCCAATCAATCTTCAAATTTCCATCAAAAATCTGTTCGTTTACATAATGGAACTCACGCTACATGATGTGACCGTTTTGTTAGGTGAAGATGTTGAGCTACTTTGATAGCTGCAGTATTGTCGCATTTGAGAGTTGTGATAAAAGTGACTTTGAATACATCTTGTGAGGGTTGGTTACTCTTTTGAGTACTCAAGGCTCACTAATGGGGCAAAGTGGGTCTTTATAATGCAAGTAATTAAGATTATATTTCAAATATAAAAGTAGTTACAAGAATTATAAAACAAAGGGAAAATGGCAGAGGAAGGGAAGATACTGGAAGTTTGCAAATGTTGAAGGGTGGATCCTAGCCCTTCCTTTAATCTTCAGGTGACAGATTAAAGAGTGGTTTGAAGTTCACCAGACTAGTTGTTCTATGGTCACTAACCCTGGGTTGTTCTTATGGTCACCAACCTTGGGTTATTATATGGTCACCAACCTGGGTTGTTCTATGGTCACCAACCTTGGGTTATTATATGGTCACCAACCTATTAGAGTTCTACTTAGGGGTAGTAGAGGATCCAGGGGAGAGTGAAGAGTATTACTTACTTTTAATCAAGGAACTGATTAAAGTAATGAAGATATCACTAGTCTTATATTTATAAGACTCTTGATGTTACTTCAGTAGAACTTTAATTGTTCTTAAAAGTAGTGTGTAATAAAAGCTTGGGGGGAAATCTCTCAAGGCTGAGAGAGGAGGGGTTTATATACTCTCCTCTCTAAACCTAACTGTGGTGGGATTTGTTTACATCCCTACTTTGGTTTAGGGTTTGATTATGATTATTATATGGGATTATTTCTAATAGTACTTAATTACATATACATGTTATATGTAATATGTAATATAAGCTTTTTTTTAACTCTTGACACTGAGTTATGAGGTGTAATTGATATATAATTACATATTACATATCATTTTAAATATATGTGTATATGTAATTAATAAGTGTATATGATTTATTACAAGTTACATATGTTTTGTAAGCTTTATGTACATGTAATTAGTTGTCTGAAAGTGGTTATATATTTTACAAGTTAGTCTTTAGGTACATACATATGTACCTAGGGCTGACACATCTTCTAATAAATTCTGTATCCAGATTGATTCTCTTGCCGCGACTCCTAATGCCATATATTCTGCATGGCAAGTTGATGTAGCAACACAACCTTGACGTCTTGATGCCCAAGAGATCAAATTTCCATACAAAAACACTGCAAAACCATGCGTAGAGCGCGAAAATTCCCCCCCCCAGTTAGCATCACAGTAAGTAACTAAATCATCTACATTCACCGTCTTTCTAAACCATATCCCTTCATTCCTTGTCCCACTGAGGTATCGAAGTAAATGTTTTAGAGCTAGCCAATGACTTTCATTTGGCCTTGAGGAGAATCGTGCCAAATAGTTGACAGAGTAGGATATATCTGGCCTCGTGCCGATTGCCAAATAGGAGAGCGATCCAAGTATTGAAAGATAAGACGATGAGTTGATGCCGACAGCATTCTTGTCAGATGAGTCCAGTCGCAAATTCACAAGGTGAAGCTACAGAAGGTGAAATAGTGTTGACCATATTGGAAATAAAGGAAAATTCGAGAATTTAGTGATTTGGAGTGTTTAATTGAATTGTTTAATTGATAAACTGGGGGCAGTTTGGAAGAAGAGGAGGATGTGGTGATCAATTTATGGGATCAATTAAAAAATTCACAATTACCAGTTTACCAGTTTATTAGCAGGATTCAGCAGGAAAGAAAATTCGAAATGGAGGTTTTGATCAATTGAAGCTCTTGTAGGCTTATGTATTGGTCATTAGGTCAACATTACATCATTTTTTATTTTTTTCACATTATATATTAAGATCATTATAGTTTACTTACAAATTTATTACAAAAAGAAAGAAAGAAAAACATAAGAAAAATTCGAAATTATAGGTACAAAGGTTGGAAAATGGTTTTTAGGTTAGTAGAAATAAAGTTATGGGTATTATGAGGTTAGAATATGAAAGAACAACATTATATTATACTATGACAATTTTAATCTTCAAGGTTGATAAGTAGAAACAGAAGTTATTAGGGAAAAGGCACTTTTTCGAAGTTGGTAAACAAGAGGTACACGTGTAGTTTGGTTGTGTAATAGTGGTAGTGATGGAATTTAAGGTTGCCAAGAGGATTTTTCGGGATTTTTAAGGTTATAGATGATGATGTCATATTACAAAAGCAAGAAAAAGAGAGTAGTAGCTGTGAAAAGTGAAGAAAATGGGTGAAATTCGTGGAAAATGGAGGTTTTCAGCTAATTACATATGTCAAATGACGTCAGAATAGGTTGGTAGATGGCTCATTCAACGCAGAAGAGTGGATTACATAATGTACAAACTTTAAATCATTAGTAATGGAGGTGTGTGTAAAAAGTTATAAGGCAAATAAAGAATTGGTGTGAATCTCGAATTTACAGTCACAAGTCACATGTAACACTAAAAACTTTAACTTCACAACTCAATATCTTACTCATCACTCATCAGAAGTAGGTCATGTAGGTGTCAGAAATGATCAGTAACACGTGGGCTACAAGATGCACTTTAGTAATCAAAAATTGGAGCACATCTGAAAAAATTCGTAATCTCAAAAATTGGTTTTCAGCTAGTTTACAAGGAAAAAATCACCTGTATTCATCATAAGAAGTGCTGTACATCATATTATTGCGTCATTGATCACTTTTAGCTGTGAAAATTACATCATTTATTAGTAACAAAATCATTACATTGCGTCATCATAGGGTTTTTAGGGAATTTTGGGCGGATTTGATTGGTTTTGAGGCTGTTGACCATTGTAAAAGTTCTAGTACATTGTTATATATACTTTGAGAGGGTTTTGGGACTGTTGTTCCTTTTTTTTTTCTTTATCATTTTACGCCATTATTATTTTGTTTATCATTATAAACTTATTTTAATAGTACCTGGTCACTTAAATACGCCCTTTATTACAATTATAAAGAGAAATTTACTTTAGTTTTATAGTCATAAAGACTTATTGGGAATAATATCAAATCAGATATTGCTTATTTCTTTTAGTTATCAATTGGGAATAACACTATAGCAGTGTTGATAGTAATACAAAGTGTGCTTTTGAAGTTAAAATTACGTGTGAAGATATATTTCTCTGGTGCCTTATCAGTACTCAATACAACAGAGCTCTTTCTGATTGTGTTGTTTTAGAAGAGCAGTCCTTAGACAACTTCTACTAGTCATTTTATTAGTGGATTATCCTCTTCCAGCTCTGTATAACCCTTGTTGGGTTATAAGTTCTACATCGTTCCAGGTGATTTGGAAAGATTTGAGTAGTGATTCGTGAATGAAGTTTATAATGTCTAATGAAGAACCACAGATTACTCCGTCGTCGACATGGATCCAGAGCATGGCAACGCTATCTTTGTAGTGTAAGACGTAAAGGGATTGATCGTTGACGCAATACCTACATCCCATTCCGGCGAGGACGGTGGAAAAGTGTTTCCACCAACATCTTGCTGCTTGCTTCGTGCCGTAGAGCGCCCTTTTGAGCAGTAACACCAAGTTCGGCAGTGACGTTTGAACTCCTT